GCACGTGCGTTTAACATTTTGGTACATTTCTTTGCCGTTCTCGGCGAAACAACAACGTGAAATAACAAAACTTTAGGTTTTCTCGAGAACGTGAGCGCATGACGGTTAATTTTTGTTTCTTTCTCCTTACTTTAACGCCGTTCGTAGTCCCTGAAGAGTTCGTAGTCCCTGAATAGTTCGCCAGCACTTTCCAAGTGAAACACATCGGTATAACCTCGAAAGGGTTACAAAAACAAAAAGTTAGATTTCGACACGACGTTTTCGTTGCCGTCGCCGTCGTCGTTGCTAAAGCTCCCTAGTCAGTAGACAGGTGGTGAGGCAGAGAAGTAACGCGCTTGTGAAAGTTTTAAGCCGGTTGTTGCCTATTTAAATTTACCCATCTATCGTCATTTAAATGTCGACCATTCGTATTAAAGGTAGGTGTTCCTCCTCTTTTAAGCATACGTTTCATGCGGGGATCTTTCGTGTAGACAATGTCATGAACATTTGTCCATCTAAATAATCAAACAGGCGGGAACGCTACTCTCTATAGAGATACCAATTGGTAAACCAGATTCGTAAACCGCTTTGTTTGACCGTCTTCTTTAATCACAGATAGCAGGTGAATAGCTGGCGCCTTGGATGTTGTACTTCAAGATCCGAAATTGTATTTTGTCCCCTTAAAAAAATTGAGCAAGATTTCCTTATAACCCCATACTTCATTATGCATTCAATTCTTGGATAAAGGAAAGCTGAGGCAAAACAACAAATTTCCGACGGAACTACGCCTTTGTTTTTGATTGGTATGGGGTTATACGGACATCTTTCTAAATATTGTTAACGGCTATATACTCGTGATTAGCTGAAATGTGTAATCCATGAGTTTCGAATGAGTTTCATTTGGTACCTTCGTAAGTGGACGGGCCATCGCTCAAACAAATAGTTCGAGCACCTCAACCCATTAGACTGCAGTTACTCGTTACCTCATTTCTGATCTACCGTTCGTTACGGGGGATGACAACTCTAACAAATGCTGTTTCGGGACAAAGCCAAAATTGTTCCGGGAATCTGGAGATTTGTCCGGGAATCGGGACACTTGAAAATTTTACCGGGAAACACGCGATAATTCCGGGACATTGCAGAAAAAATCGGGACATCGAAGCAATTTTTATTTCACGTTTTTATTTGCGTTAAACTCGGTAAGTTAGGCTTGAAATCTTCTGTAAATGAAAACATTCAAACAGCGAGTGCAGCGCCGCGGCTTGTGGTTTACACAAACCAATCAGAAACGCACCCTACTGGGTGGGCACAAAGTTGGGCTCCACGCTCCATTTAACCACGTGTAACCTTCACAGCAGTCACGTCCAGATCCGTTTCAGGTATAAACGCATCAAACAAGGTTCCGTGTATGGTTAGCGACGGTTTTTAATTTATTCCTCGCTTTGTGAGCATCAGTGAAGTCCATTTAGGAAACAAGTTTGGATTCCATAGGCGAAAAGAGCAAGCTTAGGCTACAGCGACCATGGCACGACCAATAAAATGTAAGTAAAACAGTTCGAAGTAAATATCCTAATGTTATCCGGATGGTTTCCAACTTTACGTGTATTACTGTTGCAATGCTTAGCAAAAGTGCTGTTTTCGCTTTTTATATCAGGTGGGAAGTCATTTGAGAAATGGGAAGTCGAGGATATATGCGCCTGGCTAAGGGGTCGACCATTTAACTCCTGAGGGGGGGGATGTGGGTGATTTCTGGTCATCAAGAATTTTTTTTTCTAGCAATCTGCTGTGCAGGATATTTTTTTCTGTTCTAAATGCTCTTTTTTTTCTGTTTCATTTGGGCTTCATGCAATTTTTTTCTTCCTACAAGCGCTTGCAGGGAAATTTTTTTCAAAATCACCCACCCCTCCCCCCCTCAAGAGTTAAATGGTCGGCCCAAAACGCAAAACATGTTAAAGAAACATTGTGGATGTTTCAGGGAAAAGAAAGTGCGTGAGAGCACACTGCTTTCGTCGCTAAACGATGGAACTCTAAAAACGGACCTCAAAGACCTCGGGGTAAAGGCTCTTGGTAAGAGTTCGCATTTTATACTTTAGTTCTGCGTCAGTTCTTATGAAATTCTCATAATGCTGATAATAGGCCATATCACGGTTTTCGGCGCCATCTTGACGGGTAGCCAAAGCGGTCAGAAATTACAGCGTTTGTATTGGAATCCCATGGCAAATAACTTTTCCCAAAATCGAATTTTACGCAATTTATGAATCGCAACGTTAAAACACTGAGCAGAAGATTGTATTCACCACGTTTGAAGGATATGTAGCTTGGCTAAGACGCGCTCAATTAACTTTTATAATTTTCCTCACATTTGTTTGTAAATTTTCGCAGGGTAGAAGGGACAGCGCGGAAAAAAATACATACAAAATGTATGAAAAATTAGAAAAATTAACTGAGCGTCTTCTATTCAACCTACATTCTTCAAGCTTAGTGACTACAATCTTCTACTTAGTATTTTAACGTTGCGATTCATAAATTGCTTGGGAAAGTATGGTAACCCTGCAACGAAAACCATGGAGAATACAAGGATATCCTCAGAAGGGAGAGAAGCATAGAAGGTCATCTAAGAGAACATGGTCTTGAAAGTAGACTAAATAAGTTCCAGTTCACTTCTATTACAACGCTTTGAACAGAAGGCATGTTCGGAGTATACAGCCGAGATCGGGTGGTCCATCTGCACTTGAATTTAAATATCTTTCTTCTCGCAGTGCATTGGAATGTGCAGTGAAACCGCTATAACACAGAGATGACTGCCAAATGCCATTGCTCTACACAACGCGGAAAAATGATCGTTCTTTTATTAAGGAAAGTTCGCGGGTAAAGAAAGAGGCGTCGGAAATGCGTGACTTTTGCCATGTGCACGGAAAGGGTGTTAAAGTTAGTGGAGTGAGACAAATCAACAAGCAGAGGCCAGGCTCTCTTCCTTTGTACTGCCGAAAGCCAAAAGCTACGGTGACATTGCACGATCAAGAAAGTGCTCCTTTGTCGCGGTCTGTGACAAAACAAAATGGAGGCAAAAGAGCTGAAAGGGCGAAAGGCAAAGAAACAGGTGTGTTTACTGAGCCATCATCCGAAGCCAGTGAGAAAAGTGTGATGGTGGTTGGTCATCGAGTAACCAAAGACGGCGTGGAGTACCGAGTGAAGGGTACACAAGAGCCTGACAGTGCCGAATTGCGACATTCTCTCTTGGGAGAGAATGTCGATCTCGCTGTTGTAGCGACATACGCAAGACGGCAGAGGGCTTCTCATTGCTCAACGTAGTCAACGGAACACTTTAGGCTTCTTTTACTCGTACACGTTAGCACAACTAATACCTCATTATAGGTAATGAACGATGCATGCTATGCAACGAAAATACGGCCATTTTAAAGATGTTTTGTTTCTTTGTTAATTAAAATTGAAATGTTTTACTGTAAAGACGCTATTCATGGTTAAAATAATGCTAAACATGCAAAACGTGTAATATTTGAGGTTACACAAGTAATAATAAACGGCTAATCTTAGAATATATGCCGGGAATTCTAGAAATTTCCGGGAAAGTATCGCAAGAATTCGGGAGGATGATCCAAATTTCCGGGACGTCTTATAAGTTAAGACCTAGTGTTGCGCCAAACAGCGTTTATTAGAGTTGTCACCCCCCCCCCCCCATGTTCGTTGCTAAGTTTAATAAGCTAGCTTGCTGCTGCATTACCACACGCTGTGTAGTATCGTCATTCAGACACAAGAGACTATTTCTCTTTCATTGCCAAAGGCTAACTGAACTTTATTGATAAACACGTTACACATAGAAGTATAAGAGTTTACTGACTTAGAGTAATTTTACAGCATGCAGGTATTTCCAGTAAAGTAGGATTACTGCGAGTAGTACATTCACTGAATTAAGTACAAAGTGCTCACCTTAGAACCCATGCTAGGCTGTTGTCAATAATAGCATCGAGGTTTCGCATAACAGCATACGGACACGAATAATAGCATCGAGGTTTCGAATAACAGCATACGGACACAAATAATAGCATCGAGGTTTTGGCGAACATCATTAAGAACACCCAAAACACCAGCGAAAATAATAAAAACCGCATCGGCAAACAGCATAATAAAATTCCAAACTTAATTTTGGCGGTAATAACCCCTCATATCATAGTTAAAATGCTCATATCGAGCGTGCTTGAGCATGCTTGAGCGTATAAAGGGGAGGGGGTGGGGGAGGAGGAAGATCGGCAGAAAAAAAAAAAAAAGG